ATCTAGTCGCGTATAGTACACAACGACTCTTTCATATGAACAAGATCTATTTCGTTATTGTGTTCGTCTTAATTGTCGTGATTTGCGAATTAGTATCACGATGTCAAATTTACCTTCCAGTGCTTGGTGGACCAGCGAATTTATTGGTGGCAATTTTTCTTGTTTTGTTTCTTATCGCTGAACTACTCATTGTTTTCTATCACAAATCAAATATCAAGAAAAGATGGGGCATCGCTAGTGCGATTACATTTCTACTTGCATTTGCTATTTGGATTCTGTCGGATACGGGCCGTCCGTTATGCTTTCCAACGTCATGGTTTCAAGGCCATGCTCTATGGCATGTACTCTGCGCTCTAGCTCTTTACTTTCTCTTTCGATATCATGTTAGTGAAAACAATGACAAAGGAAGCAGCTTAGTCACGTTTTTCTGAAAATAAAGTATCCTTGTTCCTCAATAGCATGATGATATTGTAGGTGTCTGTTTTAATCTCATTCAATCTCAAATGAACTTTTTCTTGGTATAATTCTGCTTCGATTTTATTTGAAACAACAACGATAGCAAAATAAGTGGTTACATTTTTGGCAAGTATAAACGCGATGACCATTACGTCGATGACGATCAATACCGCATTTGTCGCATTTGTAGTGTTTGCCATACCCATAATGAAGTCGATTGGAAACAGCACCGCAATGAGTTGTATGCTTATTGTCGCATCGATTATTACAGTTCGTTGATTGACACACGAAGTGTTTTTGTCTCGAAGACTGTTCCATGTTCTTGTCTAAATATAAGGAGACTGCATCACATCAATATAATCAAATGTGATTTGAGCACTTTCTAGGATTATAGTTACCTTCTGTAGTTATTCACAGCAGTTGTAGTCAGACGTAATACTCAGTACGGTAGAATCGCATCTTTCTTCTACTTTTATACTTCCAACTTAACTTGCGCAATTTCATCGCACTCATGACAGCATATCTAAAAGCAAATATTGCGAAATTTTCATCAGCATCGCTGAGAATGTGGTAAGTTAAGTTTACACGCAACACAAGGACAAATGTTTTTTTCGAAGCGAACGGAGTTCAGTTCTTCACTACCGTTTACGATGAGTAATTTATTTAAAAAAAACAACTTTTTTTCGTAGTTATCATTGTGAAATTTAAATAGAACGAATTGCTATAGCCTTGGACACATATTTACTGAATTCTCTGTAAAATAGTTCTACTTTTGAACGACTTCTATCATGCTTATAATGATGAAGCGCAGGTATATTGTGGACTGCTTTTAATCATCAAAGTATCAAATCAGCGTTATGCTTCATAGAAGATATAAGAAAAGGAAACCACGTGTCAATTAATGTACATACCTTCCCTCCTTCGTCTCAAAGAAAAATATTCTTTACAAAATAAACGATGGAAAACCTCCGTTCGAACTCCATGGCAATATTTGTATCTATCTTTGCAGCATTAGGTGGTTTTCTCTATGGCTACGATACTGGTTTAATATCCGGAATTATCAATATACCATACTTTCTGCAAACCTATGGCCATAGACAAGGAGATACAACAACATATGTTCTTGAATCGAGCGATAAAAGTTTGATCGTGTCAATCTTATCAGCGGGTACATTTATCGGTGCACTACTTGGTTATCCTTCAAGTGATTATCTTGGCCGACGTCGAGGATTAATTCTTGCGTATCTCATATTTTCCGTTGGTGTCATACTTCAGATAATCATAGAACAATTCCACGCATTTATTTTCGGAAGATTCATCACTGGTCTTGGTCTTGGAATTGTTTCCTGTATTCTTCCAATTTATCAAAGCGAATGTGCACCGAAGCAGATTCGCGGTGCTCTGGTATCGACATATCAATTGTGTATAACTCTCGGGCTACTCGTTGCTGCTGTTGTCAATAATCAAACAAAAGATCGAACTTCTTCAGATGCATATCGAATCCCTATTGGCCTTCAACTACTCTGGGCAGCTATTCTTTGTATAGGAATGTTTATACTGCCAGAATCGCCTCGATATTTAATCCTGAAAGGACATGTTGATCAAGCGTATCAATCTCAATCTCGGTTGACTTCGAAAAAAATCGATGATCCTCAAGTGACATCTCACATAAAAGAAATGATTGTCGATACAGCAGCAGCGAAAGCGCAACAAACGGGAACTTATCTTGACTGCTTTCGACTAGGACCAGACAAAACACTCTGGAGAACCTTAGGAGGGATATTTCTTCAAGTATGGCAACAATTAAGCGGAATCAATTTCATTTTTTACTACGGAACAACGTTCTTTCATTCATCCGGCATGGCTCACCCATTCCTCCTAACAATTATTATCAATCTTGTGAATGTCATCATGACTATTCCTGGTCTGTTACTCATCGACCTACTCGGACGACGCAAATTATTAATAATTGGCGCTTGTGGAATGTGTCTTTGTGAATATAGCATCGCTCTCATTGGACAATCCAATGAAACAAAACAAAAACTGCTCATAGTATTCGTTTGTATTTATATTGCATTCTTTGCTTCGACATGGGGTCCATCGACTTCTGTTATCACAGGTGAACTTTATCCAACATGCATTCGCGCGAAGTGTATGTCGTTATCGACGGCGTCGAATTGGTTGACGAACTTCATGCTCGGTTGTATTACGCCGTATTTGATCGATGCTGACAAGGGCAATTTGGGGACCGATGTATTTTTCATCTGGGGTACGACTTGTTTGGGTTGTGTATTATTTGGATTCTTTTGTGTTTGGGAAACGAGCGGTTTATCCCTGGAAAAGATCAATTATCTGATAAGAAATTCCTCGCCGATCACATCTGTTGAGCTCAATCAACGAATGAGATCGAGTGGAATTATAGAAAACGAAGTGTTGAATAATGAATCGATTCAACTTCTTGATAAATCTTGAAACTGCCACAAAATCACAGAAATTTGGTTTTTCTTTGAATAAATAGTTTATTCAAACACTCGGTTTGTTAAATTTCTTTTTAGCCGGCCCTGGGTGTAATTTATTGAAAAGTCATGAAATCATTGTTTTACCATTTCTGTAGACTAGAATTTTCTCGGAGCGTTGTTTTGCATATTTACTTTTCTTTTGTTAGTTGATTATTGATAAATTTAAACGTTTACATAATCAAAGTCACGGCTATTGAAATAAATAAAAAAAATGGGGAAGTAAATCAGGAATGAAGAGCCAATTGCAGCCAAAAGTAGTGCATTAACCTGACTTCTATCACAATTAAATAGAACATTCTCGTCTATTCAATTTGAAGAATGTCATCGAGATACTTCAGCTTATGGTCAGTTCTATTCGTCGTTGGACAAGCAACAGGTATATATCTAATCTATATTCTTCACATTCATAAATAAGAAGCAAATAATCTACCTTTTCTGCCGTTCAATGTGCATCTTCTAGCACATTCTCACTCAATGCGTTTTATACTATGATGAGGAAGTTTTTTGACAACTATACTGAAATGTGTTTTATTTTAATTTAGATACTTCGTTCAATCGACATAGCTTTGATGAATGCACGACTTGGAATTCAACTGGAATTAAATCTATCAGTAGCGTATCATTAAGTCAACCTGTTGGTATATTTATTAACCGGAATAATACAGTTTACGTAGCTGATCAAAATGGCCAAGTTCTCATTTGGTGGAACATTTCTAGTAATCTATTAACAACTATAAATAATAATTTGAATTTCCCCACCTCAATTTTTGTTACAATTAATGGTGATATTTACGTTGATAACAGTTCACCGTCTGGCAACAGAGTTGATAGAAGGATATTAGGTTCTAGCAGTTCCATTCCTGTAATGATGATTGATTCCTTTTGCTCTGGCCTCTTTATTGATTTTAATGACACTTTATACTGTTCTATATATGACTATCACAAAGTGATAAAAGGATGGTTAGGTGATAACACTACATCTTCAACGCTTGCTGCTGGAACCGGCAGTGCAGGTTCTGATTTAAATCAGCTCAATACTCCTCGTGGTATTTTCGTTGATACTAATTTTGATTTATATGTGGCTGACTCTCAAAATAATCGTATCCTGAGGTTTCGCTCAGGACAACCAAATGGAACCACGCTTGCAGGAAGCACTTCACTAAATATTACGATTACACTCAACTCACCTGCTGATGTTGTGGTTGACCTTGATTATTTCCTATTCATCGTTGATGATGATAATAATCGAATTATTAGATCAAGTCGAAATGGTTTCCATTGTATCATCGGGTGTAATGGAGGTAGTCCATCGTTCACCCAGCTGTCAGATCCCAGTCGGATGGCTTTCGATAGCTATGGCAACATCTATGTTACGGATTATGGCGCTCGTCGTGTCCTAAAATTCTTATTGTCGAATGACCTATGTAGTAAGTATCAAAGAGTTCGATCGATAAAGCAGAATATGACAATTTAAAAATGTCTCACATACGTAGATCATTCCACAACTCAACCAACATTTCTCACTTCGACAATCGAGAAAAAATCAACCTTTGAAATTTCAACGGCACTATCAACCCAAACAAGCACATTTCCACACCAAGGTATATCTCCTACGAATGTGTCACACTCAACAACACACGTCAGTTCATCAATGACTATACCTTCAACTTCAACATCATCCTTTCCGGTATCGACTTTTATTCCACCTTCTTGTACGTCGAATACAATTGGCATCACCTGCAACATTTCGTCCACACCCTGTCATATCATGCAACCTTGTCAGAACGATGGCACCTGCTTCGATAATAAAACCAACAGCAACAGTTATGACTGTTTGTGTCTGCAAGGTTTCAATGGGTCAATGTGTGAAAATGATCATCGACCTTGTCAACCAAATACTTGTTTTAACAGAGGTAAATCACATCTTCTCACCACACATCACTTTGAATAGATCTATTGGTTTAGGTGAATGTAATGCAGCATCGAATGGAGGATTCAAGTGTTCATGTGAATCAGGATGGACGGGTGATCATTGTGAGAGACNGAATCAGGATGGACGGGTGATCGTTGTGAGAGAAAAGTGAACTATTGTAGGAACGCGACATGTGTGAATGGTGGTGTATGTCGACCATTGTTAGGTGGTTACAAATGTGAGTGTTTGAGTGGAAGTTATTCTGGTCGACATTGTGAAATCATTTCTCGAACGTTGTACGCGCGAATAGTGACATCGAAATCAGTAGGTTATACGGGTTATGTGATAGTCGGTAGTGTGTGTTTGTTTGTGGTGGTGTTGGATGTACTGAAACATGTATTTGGTGTTGATGTGGCTCGGAATGAATTGGGAAAGATCCGAAGACGAAGACGACCACGAATCAAGACACGGAAGCGACCAGCGAGAATCGAACGATTTGCTTATATTGATGAATCGGTGTAAAATTTGAAACATATTCTGACATATAAATCATTTGCATATTTCGTGTTGTACTATGCCTTTACGATATATAATCTCATTTAAATAAAACAGAGTATTGTCATACGAGAATTTTTTCTTCGTTTCTTCCTTATCATTCGTCAAAGAAACCATGACACATAAACGTGATATAATATTGTAAGAGTTGTTGTTTTTCTCTTATCGTCGTCATCATCATACGTGGATGGCAACGAAACAAAGTTAGTAATAACAAGGAATGAGTCTTATTGATCGCTTTATCGATGCTGACAAAGAGCCGACTCGTCCTCGAATGCCCATTGAAGGTTACGAGAACAAACCGCTAGTATCAGTCGAAGATTCTATTCAAAGAATCAAAGATTTTGTACACGATCTTGACAGAATCGTATGGCTGGCAAAACGAGATTTAGTCGCACCAACGGATGGTTTGACAATTGATGAATCAGCTGCTATTCGTCTTTATACTTTGCAATGGTGTCAACCATATGAAAGTTTGTATTCCCAACTGAATCGAACGCTTCGTGCCGAACTTCGTGAACATCTGACACCTTGGTTTTCCTATCTGAAACTTTTTCTCACCGCTTTATATAAACTACCATCAATCAAAAGAACAGTTTGGCGTGGTGTCCATGGCGACGTCAGCGAGCATTACAAAAACAATTACATTTGGTGGGGCTTTAGTTCGTGCACAGAAACCATGGACGTACTCGAACAATTCATTGGTCGAACAGGTGTACGTACAATTTTCATGGTTGAATGTTTAAATGGTAAAAATATCCGTAATCATTCTGTATATGAGAATGAAAATGAAATTCTTCTCATGCCTGGCACCTACTTGCTTGTGAGAAGTAAATGGAGTCCAGTTGACGGGTTACACATGATCCATTTAGAAGAAGTTATTCCTCCTCATCGATTATTAGCTCCACCCGTTGATATATCTTCACTTACGAACAGTTCCATTTCCATAGAAACTGAAGTTCAATCGTTAGACCTTCCAAGACATCGAATAAATCGTTCAGGTTTGATTCGAAGACAGCTAAACGCATGACAAATGTTCTATGATTTGTTTTCAGCCAAAAACGAATCACAGCAAAATCATCCCATGTGCCAATTCCATTCAGGTGAGAATAAACATTGAAAAGCACGTTGTGACATCGACTTTCATTTATCAGACAAAATTTGGCTCGATCGTCAGAATCAGTACATCGATCATCGATCTACTAAAATCCGTAATCAGCTCGAATGCGAAATTCAAGAACCTTCGGGAAATATTGATCAAGCTATCTTGACTCGAATTCAAGGCTCACTGATTGGACTAGCATTAGGTGATGCTCTTGGTACACCTGCTGAATATCGAACGCGACAGTATTTACTTGAACATCCAGTGACCGATCTGCAAACAGGTGGAACATGGAATCTTGAAAAAGGACAGGTTAACTATTCTTTAGTTCTAAACTGGTAACCATCGAGAGTTTTATTTGTAGTTTACCAGTCAAACTTCCATGGCACTCTGTTTAGCTAATTCATTGATTGCACGTCGAGATTTTATTCCCTACGATCAACTAGTTCGATACAAATGGTGGTATAGAGAAGGTTATATGGCTGTGACAGGAAAATGCTATGACATTGACGCATCTACAAGTCAATCGATACGCGAATTCGAACGTCGACAAAAACAATTTGCCGAAAAGCATAATATACCTGTTGAACAACTGGATTATCTCTCGGATTTGAAGCTTCTTGATAAATTCAACACATTCTGTAGCAATGAAACTGCGGCCGACAGCGGCGCTCTCGTACGTCTAGCCCCCGTGCCACTGTTTTTCTGGAAAAATCCTATTGAAGCAGTCGAATTTTCAGGTATTAGCGGCGAAATTACACACGGAGATCGAATTGCTTACGATGCATGTCGATACTACAGTGCACTCATTATCGCAGCTTTTCATGGCGAAACTAAAGATCAGTTATTAGATAAAGACTTTTATACAAAACATAAAAATTGGTTTTACAAATATCCCCTCACACCGGAGATTGTCAAAGTCTCTCGAGGATCCTATCAGCGTGAAGATGGATATGAGAGTGGTATTCGAGGTAAAGGATATATTGTCAGTGCTTTAGAAGCCGCTCTGTGGGCGTTCTGGTCCGATGAAGGTTCATTCGAGAAAGGTGCTCTTGTTGTTGTTAATCTTGGTGATGAAACAGGTTCAACAGCAGCTATCTACGGACAATTAGCAGGTGCTTATTATGGTTATGACAATTTGCCTAAACACTGGTTGACGCATCTCTACGCTCGAAATTTTATTAAAAGTTTGAGTAAATGGATAGCTTATGAAGGACAACAATGGAAATCGACTCAAGAATGACACAGTTGTACTTTTAGCGTTGATTTGAACTCACGTATATCTATTTCATGAATTCAGAGTAAAAAATAAACAATTTGTTGATAATGAGCGATGCGAGATGTCACTATAATCGCTCGTTGTTTGATGTATGCGTGAAAGCGCTCTTTACATTGATGGATGTCCTATCAGCCAATGTAATACTTTTCATCCTTTCCTCTCGTTGACGTACTTTTACCTTCATCATCATCTAACCTTCGGGTAAAATTCATAAACACCTTTGTATTTATAGTAATTAGATACAGAACACAGTTTTTTTACGATTTGAAATACAAAAAGAAAGAGTATAATGCGTCTACGTACGTGACAATAAGCTGCAAATGTTATTTGTAGTTCCTTTCACGAGAAAAATGTTAACATTTTCGTTTTTATCTCTTGTAGAACTATCGTTTGACCTTCTCCTCATTTGAAGTTTCAGATATTTTCTATCTGGAATGACTTCTGTAAATCAAGTGAATGATTCATCATCTACACATCGCAGTGCTGATATAGAATGTGAACAAATTTTTTCTGGAGATCAATCTTCTGAACATCAGGCGAAACTCCAAGAGCATTTTCAATATGTTATGTATACATTGGATTCAATGAAGAAAAAATGGCAATCGGTATCATCGGAAATCAGTGCAGACGCTATACTGGATTTAATCAATCCGATTTATGAATACAGTTTAAAATTAGATGAAATTGAGCGAAGAGCCAATGCATTACAAAACCAATTCCAGACCCTAAGCAACAGTCAGACGACAAACAAATCAAAAGACAACCAAAATGCTTCTCTGAAGAATGATGTTGAACGACTAGAACGAGACATTGAAGAATTACAAATGAAATTAGACAAAATAAGTCATGATATTCAAGATCAAACATCAGCAGAATCCAGTGTATCATCGGACTATGATTCATCTAAAGAGAAATATCCCGTTCGATTATTTGTTAACAATTCAAAGGATGCTTCGGTGTTATCCCAGTTGGTTATCGGCCGATCAAATTCATCGAGTTTAAGCTTGACAAAAGATGGAGCTGCTCCAGTTGAATCAGAAAATCAAACCTCCACAGAGAACGTTATCGATGAGGACGATGACGATGAAGACAGAATGGTCGTATACCTCGGCTCCGATGCCGAGTTGCAAATTAATCACAAAGTTCGGTTTTCGAACAATATCGTTCGTTGGTTACGCGGTCCTTTCAAAGCAATGGTGCAAGGTTTACTCAAGACAGTGGATTTATTCGCGAAAGGAACACACATTAGCGAATATATCTTAGACGCTGTAAGGAAAGGTTTAGCCAAGCAAGGTCAAAACTCAGCGGTACAAAGGACAACGGGTCATTCTATCAAACCCACATTCGCTGAAATCACTTCGGATTGGAAATTAGAAGGAAAAAACGAAGATGAAGGTTATAGTAGTTCTTCTTTGTGGATTCGTAATCCTCAAGGTGAACGAATTTTAATCAAAATTCAGGAATTGCCATTGTGCGCTGTGAATGAATGGTTAGCTTACGTTCTCGGGAAAGTACTTGGTTTGCCTGTGAATGAAGTCCAAATCGCAGTTTATGAAAATCAACTAGCAACATTGCATAGTGATGCTGAAGAGGAAGGAGAGAAGACGGTTACATTCAAAGACTTACCAAAGAAAAAGCGAGACTTACTTTTGAAACAACCGATCATGGAAGAAATGGATATATTTGATCATATCATACAAAACGTTGATCGTAATCAACAGAACATCTTATTGACAGTACCAAAAACAGTTGATGTTGAAAACGACGATGAGCAAATCAAAGCTAAAATACATTTAATTGATCATGCAAGCAGTTTCGGTATGGGGAAAGTCAGTGGCGTAAGTACAATGGCAGCGAAATTTCACAGTAATCACCTGTCAATCGTTAAATTCGATCCAGTGCAAAAATCCAAACAATTCGAAAAATATCTTCGAGACTTACCAGTCGAAGATCGACCATTGATCAGTAAAACATTAGAGCGTTTCGCAAACATTACTGATGAGCAAATGGACAGCTGGATTACTGAAATTCAAGAACTTTTGTCACCTGGTCAATACAACCGTATCTACAGTGCTTTACGTCGGCAACGAGATGTTGTGAAACGTTGTCTAAGTCAATGGGGCGCGCAAGTCGACTCAAACAAAGCAGAAGAGAAAGTAGCTGAGAAGAAATAACATTCTGCATTTTTGTAAAAATCCTATTTTGCATTTTCCTAATAAATATATCTATAATCAAGCATACATACAGATATCTACGAAGTTAATATGTGTGAAAAGGTCATGTGCATTGCGTATCTACATTCTCAGCTGAAAAATAAAATGTAATAAAAAAAAGGTAGAACATCAATTGAAACGCGTTGGTTATAATTGATGCTTTTGATCAAATACTTGTCTTTTTTTGATTGTTACAGTATGATTTTCGAGAATTTTCGACACAGTAAATTGCAGTATTGCATCCGAGTTTGAAGAAAGTCGTATTTAATTTGGGGTACTTCGCCCAGATACCTTGAAATGACGTAAGTAACGAAAACTAACATCGAGTTGATTGTATATACATACATAAGAAAACAAATTATTTGTTACATATGACTTCTACCAAAGTCACATCGTATGCATTCTTATCACTCCTTTCCAATTTACTGAACGACTCTGTATGCACAGCGGAGACAACTAGTATATAAGCGAGATGGTCAACACCATTCAACAGCAGTTGTCTATACGATTCAGAACAAACGATGAATGGTCTTGCACTGAATGCAGTGACTCTTTTTGTCGTTGTATGCGGCTTATACGCATCACCGATATTATCACCAAGAAAATGGGAAATAGCAGGTAACGAACTTGCGATCATCTAAGACTTTTTCAAACAATTTTTCTATTCTAGAAGGAGCATTTGAAGGCGATATGTTCTTTCATGGAAGCAAAGCAGTACGTAGATATTACTCTAAACTTATATCCTGACCTATACTCTTTTTCTCTTTCTTCAAAATCAAGCGTGGAGTTGCAGTTCGTCGTGCCGGTGCACGTTGGACTAATGGTATCATTCCGTATCAATTTTTACCAGGATATAGTATGCATCTTCTATTTTCGCGGTCATGTTCGTCAGTTAAATATAACTATCCATTTGTAGCATCAGATCAGCAGGCGTTTATTGTAAATACAATGCGAATGATGGAAAGTGCATTGGCAATTAATAATGCCAAATGTGTTCAATTTCGACCGAGAGTATCAACTGATACATATTATATTTCAATTACGAATGGAACCGGTTGCTCATCTATGGTATGCGTTGAGTATTTTGCGATTTTGTAGTATTTCATATGTCCGAAACGTTAAGGTTGGGATGCCAGACACAATTCCGTTCAATCATACAGTTACATTGCAAACTGACGGCTGTTTCGTTAGCGGAATCGTTATGCATGAACTTATTCACACATTAGGTAAATATACGGCGATGACTTTTTAACATTATCTAAAGGATACTTCCTTTTATTTGAATAAATCAGGTTTTAAACACGAACAATCACGACCTGATCGAGATTTATACGTTCGAGTTAATATAGCCAATATTGATCCATGTATGTGTTTTCTTCTACTGATTGTCATATGTCACGAATAATTGTTCTGTCTTATTTCACAGCGATGTTATTCAATTTTGATAAATACAATAATAGTGAAGTTGATACTCAAAATACACCGTATGACTATGAATCAGTGATGCATTATGAAACTTATGCATTATCCATCAATGGTTTACCAACGATCGAACCGCTTCAACCTAATGTTAAAATTGGACAACGGTACAAGTTGAGTGACATTGATATTCAAGAAATTCGACAATTTTATAACTGCTCAGCAAATGGAGTCACATTGCCACCTACTACAACGGCCGCTACTACAAGTAAGTATGATTTTATGAAAGTATTGACAATCGAAGATTTTAACTAAAACCATAGATAGAGACATAGGAGAAGACAATAGCGGTACTATTGATCTTGTAGATTGCTTTAAATAAAACAAAAATTCTTATACCTGTTTCTGTTTTTTTGTATTCTGAATAGCAAAAGCAGGTATAGTTACATCAGTTTATAATGGTATGTTGACATCGAGCAATCCACAATATTTCCGTTTAAATGGCTCAGCATCAACCTATTACTACGATGTTATTAAAGTAATTGTTCCATCAGCCGGTCAATATGTTATATATGGAAGTAGTAGCCGTATAGATACTTACGGTTATATTTATCATGATCCATTCAACCCAGCTAGCACATCTACAAACTTTATTTCAGCAAACGATGACGGCGCTTTTAATTCACAATTCAATTTTACCATTAACTTCCCCAGCTATTATGTAGTCCATCTAGTAGTTACAACTTTTTATCCGGGTGTGTTAGGAAACTACTCAGTTATTGCGAATGGTCCCGCAGCAGTAACATTCGTTCTACTTACTGCTGGTACAACTACTACAACCACTACCCCTAAGCCTACTACAACAACTACTACCACTACAACGGCTAAACCCACGACAACAACAACAACAACTACTACTACTACAAGTAGTAAGCCTACAACAACTACGACAACTGTCCCAACAACTACGACTGTAGTCAATAGTAAGTACCACGCTGTAACGGAAAGGTTCATTCATTTTGTCATCTACTAGTTGGACCCCGACCAATAAATCTTTTCTATCCGTCGGATCTCACTCAACCAGTCTGTCCGAGTGGGTATTCGTGGACAATGTGGTTTAATGAGGGCAAGCCAGCTAACGCCAGCGCTGGTGATTTGGAAGATATGACCGTTATTCTTGCTCGAAATCCAACGACTCTATGCCGTCTTCCATACAGCTGCCAAGCACAATCGATTAATTCTCCAACAACTCAACCATCTGGTCAATGGTTGTTAAGTCGACCGGACAGCACACTTTTCCTGATCTCATACAAATCCTTGGCACCTCTTGGTGTTGATTTTCGCGTTCGATACTGCTGCTCCAACGGCTCGTTCACTCCACCAACAGTTCCAGCTGTTGTACCATTGCCTTTAGATAGTTCAACATGTGGTAAACAAGCTATTACACCACGAGCGAAAGCCATTAGCCGAATCTATGGAGGAACAGATGCTATTGCTAATTCATGGCCATGGGTGAGTATCGAAAAAATGAGAAAAATCTCTTATTCTACACTGATTTGTTGCTACAGATGCTTTATTATCAAGAAAGAAGATTACAAGGAACTAGTTACGTCTATTACGTCTGTGGTGCTACTCTAATCAGTGCAGATTATGCAATTACTTCGGCGCAATGCATTGGTGCAACCAATCCATCCGATGGTACACTAATTGCTGGCATGCATGATAGAACCTCAGCTGCAGAAGGTAATACACAACAATGGCGTACAGCAAAATCGTTCACCATTCATCCTCAGTATGATGCAGCTTCGTATGCAAATGATATTGCTCTGATTCGTGTGAATCAATCATTTATGCTAAATCAATATGTACAAGCTGCATGTTTACCAGGTGGCGAACCACAACCTGATGACGATGCTGTCGTTGTTGGATGGGGTTCTCAAATATTAGGCGGTGCAATTAGTAATACTCTACAACAAGCTTATACTAAGGTTGTTCGCGACTGTGAACGTTGGTGGTCGTTTGTAGATAGTGCTCGGCAAATATGCACTGCTGATTCGATGCTTGGCAGTTCAACATGTTCCGGCGACCTTGGTGGACCTGTTCTGGCTAAGTACCAAGGGCAATATGTTGTAGCAGGTATAACTAGCTTTGTACGTGATTGCAAAACAACAGGAACTGGTACTTATCCAAACGTATTCACACGTGTTGCTGCTTACAAAGCATGGATTAAGAGCATTGCTGGATAAAACGAAATAATTCGGACCATACATTTTAAACTAAAAACATCATTTTTTAAATTTTAATCGTTTTCATTTACTAATCACTATTAGAATCTTATTATAACATTCTTTTCCGTCCTCGCATGTCTACGCTCGAGTTCAAGTTAAGTACCTAAATAATTTTTTCGGAATATAAAGCAATTAGATTGTTTACACAAATATATCAGCGTTTACTAAACAAATCTTCAGAATGTCAGTAGTTTTTCCTTTAAAACATCTCCGGAGAATAGTTTTATGTACACAATTCAATCGATAACGTACCATTATTTAACGAACAAACACATGACTTAATTGCTTTTCAATATAGAATTTGGTCGATGAAATTGTTTGTTTTTCAAAAATGAGAATGCATTTTTTCTTCAAATTCCTTCGCGGAGATTCTATTGGCAGATGATTTTCTTTTCCTATCCTAAATTTAAAAAATCATACTTAACAAGAGTGAGAACGTTAAAATAATATTTATAAAAGGTAAATCATTCTTTTTTTGTTCGAAGATTGGTTACCATTCTCTCGTAGAAAATCAAAAGTACACAATTCTCACTCATCCATATGGTGATTACCGATGGTTTTAGGTTTTTATGCGTATTTTCTCTCGCCGTAAAACAGTGCTTAGGTACATACACTTGTATTTCAATTCACTTTTTCGAGTAGTGTTCTTTTGTGACGTAGACGCAACCAGTACGACGCAAGAAACAGTGACTTTAACAGTTGCACTTTCTGGTACTACCGCGAATGAAAAGTTCTCTTCAGAAAAAACAATCCTTTGGTCAGATGCTTCGTACAATCAGCCGAGATTCAACAAACTATCCATATGGAGTCCACGTGCCGTGATATTCGCTATGAATGAAACCTTTGGCACAGAACTTTATAGTATCTCTATAACCAAAACAAACTCCATCTATGTTCTTGATCATGCAAGTGGTGAAATACATGTTTGGACGAGTGACACTTCCAACTCTACCAATACAATAGCAGCTAATTTTACCAACCCAGCAGCGATCTTTGTTACAAGCAGTGGCGACGTCTTTGTTGATAATGGAAACATAACTGGTCAAGTCGATCGATGGATGGCAGCCACAAATACTAGTGTTCCTATCATGTATGTGAATTCATCGTGCTATGGTCTATTCGTTGATGTCAGTAACTCGCTGTATTGTTCCATGCATTTCGAACATAAGGTTGTGAAACGACACTTGGGCGACAACGACACAACATTAATAGTTGTTGCTGGTAATGGTACAAGTGGCACTCAGGCAGATACGCTTTCGAATCCTGTTGGAATCTTTGTTGATACTAATTTCGATTTATACGTAGCTGACTACGGAAACAGTAGGATTCAACTCTTTGCATCCGGAACATCCAATGCGATCACGAAAGCAAGTAGTAGCTATTTGAATCGGCCCAGCAGTGTAGTTTTGGATAAGGAGAAAAAATTATATGTCGTTGATAACCACCATCATCGCATTGTTCGAGTATCCGATGCAGGTTTTCAATGCATTATTGGCTGCTATAGCAGTGCCGCAGCTATAAATGAATTGTTTCTTCCATGGAGTATGGCTTTTGACAGTCATGGCAACATATATGTTGTTGATCGAAACAATAGCCGAATCGAAAAATTTCTTTTATTGAATAAAACAACAGGTAAGATTTTCAACGAAAGAATACAGTTGTAGTATCAAGTGTTCGCTACCTATCTCACAGATATTTCATATAATCAACCAAGCTTAGATGATCATCGCACTTGGAATCCAACTATGATCATTTTTGCAGAAAATGATACCGTCGGTACGAAATCTTACGGTATTTTTGTCAACAAAAGCAACTACGTTTACATCGCTGATTATGAAAATCATGCAGTACACGTATGGTCGAACACCTCTAATCATTCACAGAAAATAACATACAATAATTTGATGAATCCAGCATCTATATTCCTTACTTTAAATACCGACGTCTTTGTTGATAATGGAAACATAACTGGTCAAGTCGATCGATGGATGGCAGCCACAAATACTAGTGTTCCTGTCATGTATGTGAATTCATCATGCTATGGTCTATTCGTTGATGTCAGTAATTCGCTGTATTGTTCCATGCACTTCGAACATAAGGTGGTGAAACGATGGCTGGATGGCAATGATACATTAGTGACAACTGTTGCTGGTAATGGTACCAGTGACTTTCAGGCGAACACACTTTCGAATCCTGTTGGGATCTTTGTAGACACCAACTTGGACCTATATGTGGCGGATTACGGGAACGATCGAGTTCAATTGTATCGATTTGGAGATATGAGTGGAATAACAGTCGCAGGAAGCTCATCAGTAAATCAAACACTTCCACTGCATGGTCCGACTTGTATTCTACTCGATGGATACAAGTACTTATTTATTGTAGACAGTAACGAAAATCGTATCGTTCGATCAACATCAAGTGATTTTCTATGCATTATTGGATGTTATAGAAGTAGTGTAGCATCTAATGAATTATTCCTGCCCTGGAGTATGGCTTTTGACAGTTATGGAAATATTTTCGTCATTGATCGAGATCATAGACGAATTGGAAAATATATTTTATTGAATAACACCGAGGGTAAGATTTATGACAATGAAATAACTGTGACATTATTTCTGCTTTTTCTCCTGTTTAGACATATCATATAATCACCCAAGTTTCGATACAGTGGAAGCTTGGAACCCAAATGCAATTGTATTAGCTTCGAATGATACCCTTGGCACAGAACTTTATAGTATCTCTATAACCAAAACAAACTCCATCTATGTTCTTGATCATGCAAGTGGTGAAATACATGTTTGGACGAGTGACACTTCCAACTCTACCAATACAATAGCAGCTAATTTTACCAACCCAGCAGCGATCTTTGTTACAAGCAGTGGCGACGTCTTTGTTGATAATGGAAACATAACTGGTCAAGTCGATCGATGGATGGCAGCCACAAATACTAGTGTTCCTGTCATGTATGTGAATTCATCATGCTATGGTCTATTCGTTGATGTCAGTAACTCGCTGTACTGTTCCATGCACTTCGAACATAAGGTAGTGAAACGATGGCTGGATGGCAATGATACATTACTGACAACTGTTGCTGGTAATGGTACCAGTGGCACTCAGGCAGATACACTTTCGAATCCTGTTGGAATCTTTGTTGATACTAATTTCGGTTTATATGTAGCGGACTATGGCAATGATAGAATACAAGTTTTCACCTTTGGAGACATACAAGGAAGAACAGAAGTGAGTGGCAACCTTCTAAATGGTCCCAGTGGTATTATCTTAGACAACAGCAAATACTTGTTTATTGTTGATAGCAACAACAACCGAATTATTCGATCAACTCATATTGGCTTTCAATGTATCATTGGCTGCTATAGTAGTAGTTCATCTACCAATGAATTATTTCTTCCATGGAGTATGGCTTTTGATAATGATGGCAACATATATGTTGTTGATCGAAACAATAGCCGAATCGAAACGTTTCTTTTATTCAATAAAACAACAGGTAAGATTTGAAACAAAAGAATACAGTTGTAGTATCAAGTGTTCGCTACTTATCTCACAGATATTTCGTACAATCAGCCAAGCTTCTGCCCGTTATCAACTTGGAATGAAAGTGTAGTGACGTTTGCGAATATTAGCACAGTTGGAAAGGAACCGAACGGGCTTTTTGTCACTAAAAGGGACCTCGTTTACATTGCTCAACGAGATACAGGAAGGATACGAATTTGGGTTAATAGCTCATGGAGTGAAACAACTTCGTTTGCCGGCTATCACATGAACTCATCCAGCATTTTTGTTAGTACAAATAACGATATTTTCGTCGATAACGGTGATAGCGCTGGCCAAGTTGATAAATTGACAGCAAACCAGAATATTAGTACTCCAGTGATGTATGTCAATTCGTCATGTTATGATCTCTTCGTTGATATCACTAACTCTTTGTATTGCTCCATCCAGTCTCAACATACAGTTGTGAAGCGATGGCTAGCTGACAATGATACAATCTTGACGACAGTCGCTGGCAATGGCACCGCTGATCTCAAACCAAATAGACTTTCACAACCCGCTGGTATTTTTGTCCACGTGAATCTTCGTTTATATGTAGCCGACTATGGAAATGACAGGATTCAACTCTTCTTGTTCGGAGAGATAAATGGATCGACTATTGCAGGCAATACGTCAATGAACTGCACGATTACACTCAATGGGCCCACTGATGTTTTACTCAATGAACACAAATATTTGTTTATCGTGGATAGCAACAACCATCGAATCGTTCGATCTGGTCCAAATGGTTTTTATTGTATAATTGGATGTAATGGAGGTGGTTCATCGTCGAATCAATTGTCATACCCAGATCGAATGGCTTTCGACAGCAACGGTAGTATCTTTGTTACTGATACAGAGAATAGCCGTATCCAAAAGTTTTTGATTTCAACACTCAGATGCAGTAAGTATCAAACAATCGAATAGGTAGATGATAATGCCAGAATTTTCAACTCTTATATAGATTTGCCCACAAGTCAACAAACGGTTTTCACTTCAACGGCACTATCAACCCAAATAAGCACATTTTCACATCAAGGTATATCTCCTACGAATGTGTCAGACTCAACAACACACGTCAGTTCATCAATGACTACATCTTTATCTTCAACATCATCCTCTTCGGTATCGACTTTTATCGCACCTTCTTGTTCATCGAATACAATTGGCATCACCTGCAACATTTCGTCCACACCCTGTCAAATCATGCAACCTTGTCAGAACGATGGCACCTGCTTCGATAATAACATCAACAGCAAGAGTTATGACTGTTTGTGTCTGAAAGGTTTCAATGGGTCAATGTGTGAAAATGATCATCGACCTTNCCCAACTGAATAGAACGCTTCGTGCCGAACTTCGTGAACATCTTACACCTTGGTTTTCCTATCTGAAACTTTTTCTCACCGCTTTATATAAACTACCATCAATCAAAAGAACAGTTTGGCGTGGTGTCCATGGCGATGTCAGTGAGCATTACAAAAACAATTACATTTGGTGGGGTTTTAGTTCGTGCACAGAAACCATGGACGTACTCGAACAATTCATTGGTCGAACAGGCGTACGTACAATTTTCATGGTTGACTGTTTAAATGGTAAAAATATCCGGAATCATTCTGTATATGAGAATGAAAATGAAATTCTTCTCATGCCTGGAACCTATTTGCTTGTAAGAAGTAAATGGAGTCCAGTTGACGGGTTACACATGATCCATTTAGAGGAAGTTATCCCTCCGCATCGATTATTAGCTCCACCCGTTGATATATCTTCACTTACAAATAGTTCTATTTCCATAGAAACTGAAGTTCAATCGTTAGACCTTCCAAGAGATCGAATAAATCGTTCAGGTATGATTCGAAGACAGCTAAACGCATGACAAATGTTCTACGATTTGTTTTCAGCCAAAAAACAAATCACAGCAAAATCATCCCATGTGCCAATTCCATTCAGGTGAGAATAAACATTGAAAAGCACGTTGTGACATCGACTTTCATTTATTAGACAAATTTTGGCTCGATCGTCAGAATCAGTACATCGATCATCAATCTACTAAAATCCGTAATCAGCTCGAATGCGAAATTCAAGAACCTTCGGGAAATATTGATCAAGCTATTTTGACTCGAATTCAAGGCTCACTGATTGGGCTAGCATTAGGTGATGCTCTTGGTACACCTGCTGAATATCGAACACGACATTATTTACTTGAACAGCCAGTGACCGATCTGCAAGCAGGTGGAACATGGAATCTTGAAAAAGGACAGGTTAACTATTCTTTCACTCTAAACTGGTAACTATCGAGAGTTTTATTTGTAGTTTACCAGTCAAACTTCCATGGCACTCTGTTTAGCTAATTCATTGATTGCACGTCGAGATTTTATTCCATACGATCAGTTAGTTCGATACAAATGGTGGTATAGAGAAGGTTATATGGCTGTGACAGGAAAATGCTATGATATTGACGCATCCACAAGTCAATCGATACGCGAATTCGAACGTCGACAAAAACAATTTGCCGAGAAGCATAATATACCTGTGGAACAACTGGATTATCTCTCGGATTTGAAGCTTCTTGACAAGTTCAACACGTTCTGTAGCAATGAAACTGCCGCTGACAGCGGCGCTCTCGTGCGTCTAGCTCCCGTGCCACTGTTTTTCTGGAGAAATCCCATTGAGGCCGTCGAATTTTCAGGTATTAGCGGAGAAATTACACACGGAGATCGAATTGCTTACGATGCATGTCGATACTACAGTGCACTCATTGTTGCAGCTTTTCATGGTGAAACCAAAGATCAGCTATTAGATAAAGATTTCTATACAAAACATAAAAATTGGTTTTACAAGTATCCCCTCACACCGGAGATTGTCAAAGTCTCTCGAGGATCCTATCAGCGTGAAGATGGATATGAGAGTGGTATTCGAGGTAAAGGATATATTGTCAGTGCTCTAGAAGCTGCTCTATGGGCGTTCTGGTGCGATGAAGGTTCATTCGAGAAAGGAGCTCTTTCTGTTGTTAATCTTGGCGATGAAACAGGCTCAACAGCAGCTATTTATGGACAATTAGCAGGTGCTTACTATGGTTATGACAATTTACCTGAACACTGGTTGACGCATCTCTATGCTCGAAACTTTATTAAAAGCTTGAGTAGATGGATAGCTTACGAAGGACAGCAATGGAAATCGACTCAAGAATGACACAGTTGTATTTTTAGCGTTGATTGGAACTCACGTGTATCTATTTCATGAATTCAGAGTAAAAAATAAACGATTTGTTGATAATGAGCGATGCGAGATGTCACTATAATCGCTCGTTGTTTGATTTATGCGTGAAAGCGCTCTTTATATTGATGGATGTCCTATCAGCCAATGTAACACATTTCATCCTTTCCTCTCGTTGACGTACTTTTACCTTCATCATCATCTAACCTTCGAGTAAAATTCATAAACACCTTTGTATTTACTGTAATTAGATACAGAATATAGTATTTTACGATTGGTAATACAAAAAGAAAGAGTATAATGCATTTATGTGCGTAATAATAAGCTGCAAATATTATTTGTAGCTCCTTTCACGAGAAAAATGTTAACATTTTCGTTTTTATCTTTTGTAGAACTATCGTCTGATCTTCTCCTCACCCCCAAGTTTCAGATTTTCTCTATCTGGAATGACTTCTGTAAATCAAGTGAATGATTCATCGTCTACACATCACAATGCTGATGTAAAATGTGAACAAATGTTTTCTGGAGATCAATCTTCTGAACATCAGGAGAAACTCCAAGAGCATTTTCAATATGTTATGTATACATTGGATTCAATGAATAAAAAATGGCAATCGTTATCATCGGAAATCAGTGCAGACGCTATACTGGACTTAATCAATCCGATTTATGAATACAGTTTAAAATTAGATGAAATTGAGCGAAGAGCCAATACATTACAACAGCAATTCAAGGACCTAGGCAACAGCCAAACGGCAAACAGATCAAAAGACAACCAAAATGCTTCTCTGGAGAATGATGTTGAACGACTAAAACGAGATATTGAAGAATTACAAATGAAATTAGACAAAATAAGTGATGATATTCAAAATCAAACATCAACAGAATCCAGTGTATCATCGGACTATGATTTACCTAAAGAGAAATATCCCGTTCGATTATTTGTTAACAATTCAAAGGATGCTTCGGTGTTATCCCAGTTGGTTATCGGCCGATCAAATTCATCGAGTTTAAGCTTGACCAAAGATGAAGCTGCTCCAGTTGAATCCCAAAATCAAACCTCCACAGAGAACGTTATCGATGAGGACGATGACGATGAAGACAGAATGGTCGTATATCTCGGCTCCGATGCCGAGTTACAAATTAATCACGAAGTTCGATTTTCGAACAATATCGTTCGTTGGTTACGCGGTCCTTTCAAAGCAATGGTGCAAGGTTTACTCAAGACAGTGGATTTATTCGCAAAAGGAACACACATTAGCGAATATATTTTAGACGCTGTAAGGAAAGGTTTAGCCAAACAAGGTCAAAACTCAGCGGTACAAAAGACAACGGGTCATTCTATCAAACCCACATTCGCTGAAATCACTTCGGATTGGAAATTAGAAGGAAAAAACGAAGATGAAGGTTATAGTAGTTCTTCTTTGTGGATTCGTAATCCTCAAGGTGAACGAATTTTAATCAAAATTCAGGAATTGCCATTGTGCGCTGTGAATGAATGGTTAGCTTACGTTCTCGGGAAAGTACTTGGTTTGCCTGTGAATGAAGTCCAAATCGCAGTTTATGAAAATCAACTAGCAACATTGCATAGTGATGCTGAAGAGGAAGGAGAGAAGACGGTTACATTCAAAGACTTACCAAAGAAAAAGCGAGACTTACTTTTGAAACAACCGATCATGGAAGAAATGGATATATTTGATCATATCATACAGAATGTTGATCGTAATCAACAGAATATCTTATTGACAGTACCAAAAACAGTTGATGTTGAAAACGACGATGAGCAAATCAAAGCTAAAATACATTTAATTGATCATGCAAGCAGTTTCGGTATGGGAAAAGTCAGTGGCGTCAGTACAATGGCTGCGAAATTTCATAGTAATCACCTGTCAATCGTTAAATTCGATCCAGTGCAAAAATCCAAACAATTCGAAAAATATCTTCGAGACTTACCAGTCGAAGATCGGCCATTGATCAGTAAAACATTAGAGCGTTTCGCAAACATTACTGATGAACAACTGGACAGCTGGATTACTGAAATTCAAGCACTTTTGTCGCCTGGTCAATACAACCGTATCTACAGTGCTTTACGTCGGCAACGAGATGTTGTGAAACGTTGTCTAAGTCAATGGGGCGCGCAAGTCGACTCAAACAAAGCAGAAGAGAAAGTAGCTGACAAGAAATAACATCCTGCATTTTTGTAAAAATCCTATTTTGCATTTTCCTAATAAATATATCTATAATCAAGCATACATACAGATATCTACGAAGCTAATATGTGTGAAAAGGTCATGCGCGCTGCATATCTACATTCTCAACTGAAAAATAAAACGTAATAAAATAGGTAGAACATCAATTGAAACGCGTTGTTTATAATTGATGCTTTTGATCAAATACTTGTCTTTTTTATTGTTACAGTATGATTTTCGAGAATTTTCGACACGGTAAATTGCAGTATTGCATTCGAGGTTGAAGAAGGTCATATTTTATTTGGGGTACTTCGCCCAGATACCTTGAAATGACGTAAGCTACGAAAACTAACATCGAGTTGATTGTATATACGTATTATACATAAGAAAACAAATTATTTGTTACATATGACTTCCACCAAAGTCACACCGTATGCATACTCTTATCACTCGTTTCCAATTTACTGAATGACTCTGTACGCACAACGGAGACGACTAGTATATAAGCGAGATGGTCAACACCATTCAACAGCAGTTGTCTATACGATTCAGAACAAACGATGACTGGTCTTGGACTGAATGTAGTGACTCTTTTTGTCGTTGTATGCGGCTTATACGCATCACCGATATTCTCACCAAGAAAATGGGAAATAGCAAGTAACGAACTCGCGATCATCTAAGACTTTTCCAAACAATTTTTCTATTCTAGAAGGAGCATTTGAAGGCGATATTTTTTTTTCATGGAAGCAAAGCAGTACGTAGATATTACTCTAGGCTTATATCCTGACCTATACTCTTTTTCTCTTTCTTCAAAATGAAGCGTGGAGTTGCAGTTCGTCGTGCCGGTGTACGTTGGACTAATGGTATCATTCCGTATCAATTTTTACCAGGATATAGTATGCATCTTCTATTTTCGCGGTCATGTTCGTCAATTAAATATAAACTATCCATTTTTAGCATCAGATCAGCAGGCGTTTATTGTAAATACAATGCGAATGATGGAAAGTGCATTGGCAATTAATAATGCCAAATGTGTTCAATTCCAACCGAGAGTATCAACTGATACATACTATATTTCAATTACGAATGGAACCGGTTGCTCATCTATGGTATGCGTTGAGTATTTTGCGATTTTGTAGTATTTCATATCTCCGAAACGTTAAGGTCGGGATGCCAGACACAATTCCATTCAATCATACAGTGACATTGCAAACTGACGGCTGTTTCGTTAGCGGAATCGTTATGCATGAGCTTATTCATACATTAGGTAAATATACGATGATGACGTTGTAACACTATCTAACGAATACTTCCTTTTATTTGAATAAATCAGGTTTTAAACACGAACAATCACGACCTGATCGAGATTTATACGTTCGAGTTAATATAGCCAATATTGATCCATGTATGTGTTTTCTTCTACTGATTGTCATATGTCATGAATAAGTGTTCTGTCTTATTTCACAGCGATGTTATTCAATTTTGATAAGTACAATAATAGTGAAGTTGATACTCAAAATACACCGTATGACTATGAATCAGTGGTGCATTATGAAATTTATGCATTATCCATTAATGGTTTACCAACGATCGAACCGCTTCAACCTAATGTTAAAATTGGACAACGGTATAAGTTGAGTGACATTGATATTCAAGAAATGCGACAATTTTATAACTGCTCAGCAAATGGAGCCACGTTGCCACCTACTACAACGGCCGCTACTACAAGTAAGTATGATTTTATGAAAGTATTGACAATCGAAGATTTTAACTAAAATCATAGATAGAGACATGGGAGAAGACAATAGCAATACTATTGATCTTATAGATTGCTTTAAATAAAAAAATTCTTATACATGTTTCTTTTTTTAAATATTCTGAATAGCAAAAGCAGGTATAGTTACATCAGTTTATAATGGTATGTTGACATCGAGCAATCCACAATAGTTCCGTTTAAATGGCTCAGCATCAACCTATTACTACGATGTTATTAAAGTAATTGTTCCATCAGCCGGTCAATATGTTATATATGGAAGTAGTAGTCGTATAGATACTTACGGTTATATTTATCATGATCCATTCAACCAAGCTAGCACATCTACAAACTTTATTTCAGCAAACGATGACGGCGCTTTCAATTCACAATTCAATTTTACCGTTACCTTCCCCAGCTATTATGTAGTCCATCTAGTAGTTACAACTTTTTATCCGGGTGTGTTAGGAAACTACTCAGTTATTGCGAATGGTCCCGCCGCAGTAACATTCGTTCTACTTACTGATGGTACAACAACTACTACCACTACAACGGCTAAACCCACGACAACAACAACAACTACGACAACTGTCCCAACAACTACAGCTGTAGTCAATAGTAAGTACCGTGCTGTAATGGAAAGGTTCATTAATTTTGTCATTTATTAGTTGGACCCCCACCAATAAATCTTTTCTACTCGTCGGATCTCACTCAACCAGTCTGTCCGAGTGGGTATTCGTGGACAATGTGGTTTAATGAGGGCAAGCCAGCTAACGCCAGTGCTGGTAATTTGGAAGATATGACCGTTATTCTTGCTCGAAATCCAACGACTCTATGCCGGCTTCCATACAGCTGTCAAGCACAATCGATTAATTCTCCAACAACTCAACCTTCTGGTCAATGGTTGTTAAGTCGACCGGACAGCACACTTTTCCTGATCTCATACAAATCCTTGGCACCTCTTAGTGTTGACTTTCGCGTTCGATACTGCTGCTCCAACAGCTCGTTCTCTCCACCAACAGTTCCAGCTGTTATACCATTGCCTTTAGATAGTTCAACATGTGGTAAACAAGCTATTACACCACGAGCAAAAGCAATTAGCCGGATCTATGGAGGAACAGATGCTATTGCTAATTCATGGCCACGGGTGAGTATCGAAAAGATGAGAAAAATCTCTTATTCTACATTGATTTGTTGCTACAGATGCTTTATTATCAAGAAAGAAGATTATAAGGAACTAGTTACGTCTATTACGTCTGTGGTGCTACTTTAATCAGTGCAGACTATGCAATTACTTCGGCGCAATGCATTGGTACAACCAATCCATCCGATGGTACACTCATTGCTGGCATGCATGATAGAACCTCAGCTGCAGAAGGTAATACACAACAATGGCGTACAGCAAAATCGTTCACCATTCATCCTCAGTATGATGCAGCTTCGTATGCAAATGATATTGCTCTGATTCGTGTAAATCAATCATTTGTGCTGAATCAATATGTACAAGCTGCATGTTTACTAGGTGGCGAACCACAGCCCGATGACGATGCTGTCGTTGTTGGATGGGGTTCTCAAATATTAGGCGGTACAATTAATAATACTCTACAACAAGCTTATACTAAGGTTGTTCGCGACTGTGGACGTTGGTGGTCGTTTGTAGATAGTGCTCGGCAGTTCAACATGTTCAGGCGACCTTGGTGGACCTGTTCTTGCTAAGTATCAAGGGCAATATGTTGTAGCAGGTATAACTAGCTTTGTACGTGATTGCAAAACAACAGGAACTGGTACTTATCCAAACGTATTCACACGTGTTGCTGCTTACAAAGCCTGGATTAAGAGCATTACTGGATAAAACGAAATTATTCGTACCATACATTCTAAACTAAAAACATCATTTTTTAAAATTTTAATTGCTTTCATTTACTGATCACTATTAGAATCTCATTATAGCATTCTTTTTCCGTCCTCGCATGTCGACCCTCGAGCTCAAGTTATTTACCTCAATAAATTTTTCGAAGTGTAAGGCAATTAGATTGTTTACACAAAAATGTCAGCATTTACTAAACAAATCTTCGGAATGTCAGTAGGTTTTCCTTTAAAACATCTCCGGAGAATAGTTTTATGTACACAATTCAATTGATAACGTAGCATTGTTTAACGAACAAACACATGATTTAATTGATTTTCAATATAGAGTTTGGTCGATGAAATTGTTTGTTTTTCAAAAATGAGAATGCACTTTTTTCTTCAGGTTCTTTCGCGGAGATTCTATTGGCAGATGATTTCCTTTTCCCATTCCAAATTTAAAAATCATACCTAAGGAGAGTGAGAACGTTAAAATAATATTTATAAAAGGTAAATCATTCTTTTTTTTCGAAGATTGGTTACCATTCTCTCGTAGACAATCAAAAGTACACAATTCTTACTTATCCATATGGTGATTACCGATGGTTTCAGGCTTTTATGCCTATTTTTTCTCGCCGTAAAACAGTGCTTAGGTACATACACTTGTGTTTCAATTCATTTTTTCGAGTAGTGCTCTTTTGTGACGTAGACGCCACCAGTACGACGCAAGAAGCAATGACTTCAACGGTTGCACTTTCTGGTACTACGGCGAATGGAAAGTTCTCTTCAGAAAAAATAATCCTTTGGTCAGATGCTTCGTACAATCAACCGAGATTGAACGAACTATCCATATGGAGTCCATGTGCCGTGATATTCGCTACCAGTGCAACCTTTGGCACAGAACTTTATAGTATCTCTATAACCAAAACGAACTCTATCTATGTTCTTGATCATGCAACTGGTGAAATACATGTTTGGACGAGTGACACTTCCAACTCTACTAATACAATAGCAGCTAATTTTACCAAGCCAGCAGCGATGTTTGTTACAAGCAGTGGCGACGTCTTTGTTGATAATGGGAACATAACTGGTGAAGTCGATCGATGGATGGCAGCGACAAATACTAGCGTTCCAGTCATGAATGTGACTTCATCATGCTATGGTCTATTCGTTGATGTCAGTAACTCGCTGTACTGTTCCATGCATTTCGAACATAAGGTTGTGAAACGATACTTGGGTGACACCGACACTACATTAATACTAGTTGCTGGTAATGGTACAAGTGGCTCTCAGGCAAATAAACTTTCGAATCCTGTTGGAATCTTTGTTGATACTAATTTCGATTTATACGTAGCTGACTACGGAAACAATAGGATTCAACTCTTTGCATCCAGAGCATCCAATGCAATCACGAAAGCAAGTAGTAGCTATTTGAATCGACCCAGTAGTGTGGTTTTGGATCAGGAGAAAAAATTATATGTCGTTGATAGCCACCATCATCGCATTGTTCGAGTATCCGATGCCGGTTTTCAATGCATTGTTGGTTGCTATAGCAGTGCCGCAGCTACAAGTGAATTGTTTTTTCCTTGGAGTATGGCTTTTGACAGTCATGGCAACATATATGTTGTTGATCGAAACAATAGCCGAATCGAAAAGTTTCTTTTATTGAATAAAACAACAGGTAAGATTTTCAACGAAAGAATACAGTTGTTGTATCAGATATTCACCACTTATCTCACAGATATTTCATATAATCAACCAAGCTTAGATGGTCATCGCACTTGGAATCCAACTATGATCATTTTTGCAGACAATGATACCGTCGATGCGGAATCTTATGGTATTTTTGTCACCAAAAGCAACTACGTTTACTCCGCTGATTATGAAAATCATGCAGTGCACGTCTGGTCAAACACCTCTAATCATTCACAGAAAACTATATACAATAATTTGATCAATTCAGCATCTATATTCGTTACTTTAAATGCCGACGTCTTTGTTGATAATGGGAACATAACTGGTCAAGTCGATCAATGGATGGCAGCGACAAATACTAGCGTTCCTGTCATGAATGTGACTTCATCATGCTATGGTCTATTCGTTGATGTCAGTAACTCGCTGTACTGTTCCATGCATTTCGAACATAAGGTTGTGAAACGATGGCTGGACGGCGATGATACATTACTGACAACTGTTGCTGGTAATGGTACAAGTGGCTCTCAGGCAAATAAACTTTCGAATCCTGTTGGAATCTTTGTAGATACCAACTTGGACCTATATGTGGCGGATTACGGGAACGATCGAGTTCAATTGTATCGATTTGGAGATTTGACCGGAATAACAGTCGCAGGAAATTCATCAGTAAATCGAACACTTCCACTGGATGGTCCAACTTGTATTCTACTCGATGGTTACAAGTATTTATTTATTGTAGACAGTAACAAAAATCGTATCGTTCGATCAACATCAAGTGATTTTTTGTGCATTATTGGATGTTATAGAAGTAGTTTATCATCTAATGAATTATTCCTGCCCTGGAGTATGGCTTTTGACAGTTATGGAAATATTTTCGTCATTGATCGAAATCATAGACGAATTGGACAATATATTTTATTGAATAACACCGAGGGTAAGATTTATGACAATGAAACAACTCTGCCATTATTTATGCTTTTTCTTCCGTTTAGACATATCATATAACCACCCAAGTTTCCATACAGTGGAAGCATGGAATCCAAATGCAATAGTATTTGCTTCGAATAATACTCTTGGCACAGAACTTTATAGTATCTCTATAACCAAAACGAACTCTATCTATGTTCTTGATCATACAAGTGGTAAAATACGTGTTTGGACGCGTGACACTTCCAACTCTACTAATACAATAGCAGCTAATTTTACCAAGCCAGCAGCGATGTTTGTTACAAGCAGTGGCGACGTCTTTGTTGATAATGGGAACATAACTGGTGAAGTCGATCGATGGATGGCAGCGACAAATACTAGCGTTCCAGTCATGAATGTGACTTCATCATGCTATGGTCTATTCGTTGATGTCAGTAACTCGCTGTACTGTTCCATGCATTTCGAACATAAGGTTGTGAAACGATGGCTGGGCGGCAATGATACATTACTGACAACTGTTGCTGGTAATGGTACAAGTGGCTCTCAGGCAAATACACTTTCGAATCCTGTTGGAATCTTTGTTGATACTAGTTTTAGTTTATATGTAGCGGACTATGGCAATGATAGAGTACAAGTTTTCACCTTTGGAAACATACAAGGAAGAACAGAAGTGAGTGGCAACCTTCTAAATGGTCCCAGTGGTATTATCTTAGACAACAGCTCATACTTGTTTATTGTTGATAGCAACAACAACCGAATTATTCGATCAACTCATGGTGGCTTTCAATGTATCATTGGCTGCTATAGTAGTAGTTCAACTACCAGTGAATTGGTTTTTCCTTGGAGTATGGCTTTTGACAGTCATGGCAACATATATGTTGTTGATCGAAACACTAGCCGAATCGAAAAGTTTCTTTTATTGAAGAAAACAACAGGTAAGATTTTCAACGAAAGAATACAGTTGTTGTATCAGATATTTACTACTTATCTCACAGATATTTCATATAATCAACCAAGCTTCTGCCCGTTATCAACTTGGAATGAAAGTGTACTGACGTTGGCGAATATTAGCACAATTCGAAAGGAACCGAGCGGGCTTTTTGTCACTAAAAGGGACCTCGTTTACGTTACTCAACGAGATACAGGAAGGATACGAATTTTGGTTAATAGTTCATGGAGTGAAACAACTTTGTCTGCCGGCTATCACATGAACTCATCCAGCATTTTTGTTAGTACAAATAATGATATTTTCGTCGATAACGGTGATACTGTTGGCCAAGTTGATAAATGGACAGCAAATCAAAATATTTGTACTCCAGCGATGTATGTCAATTCGTCATGTTATGATCTCTTCGTTGATATCACTAACTCTTTGTATTGCTCCATCCAGTCTCAACATAAAGTTGTGAAGCGATGGCTAGCTGAAAATGATACAATCTTGACGACGGTCGCTGGCAACGGCACCGCTGATCTCAAACCAAATAGACTTTCACAACCTGCTGGTATTTTTGTCCACATGAATCTTCGTTTATATGTGGCCGACTATGGAAATGACAGGATTCAACTCTTCTTGTTCGGAGAGATAAATGGATCAACTATTGCAGGCAATAAGTCAACGAACTACACAATTACACTCAATGGCCCCACTGATGTTTTACTCAATGAACAGAACTATTTGTTTATTGTGGATAGCAACAATCATCGAATCGTTAGATCTGGTCCAAATGGTTTTTATTGTATAATTGGATGTAATGGAAGTGGTTCATCGTCGAATCAGTTGTCATACCCAGATCGAATGGCTTTCGATAGAAATGGTAGTATCTTTGTTACTGATACAGGGAACAGCCGTATCCAAAAGTTTTCGATTTCAACACTTAGATGCAGTAGGTATCAAACAATTGAATAGGTAGATGATAATGCCAGAATTTTCAACTCTCTTATATAGATTTGCCCACAAGTCAACAACCGGTTTTCACTTCAACGGCACTATCAACTCAAACAAGCACATTTCCACACCAAGGTATATCTCCTACGAATGTGTCAGACTCAACAACGCACATCAGTTCATCAATGACTATACCTTCAACTTCAACATCATCCTTTCCGGTATCGGCTTTTATTCCACCTTCTTGTACGTCGAATACAATTGGCATCACCTGCAACATTTCGTCCACACCCTGTCATATCATGCAACCTTGTCAGAACGATGGCAGCTGCTTCGATAATAAAAGCAACAGCAACAGTTATGACTGTTTGTGTCTGCAAGGTTTCAATGGGTCAATGTGTGAAAATGATCATCGACCTTGTCAACCAAATACTTGTTTTAACAGAGGTAAATCACACCTTCTCACCACACATCACTTTGAATAGATCTATTGGTTTAGGTGAATGTAATGCGACATCGAATGAAGGATTCAAGTGTTCATGTGAATCAGGATGGACGGGTGATCATTGTGAGAGACAAGTGAACTATTGTAGGAACGCGACATGTGTGAATGGTGGTGTGTGTCGACCATTGTTAGGTGGTTACAAATGTGAATGTCTGAGTGGAAGTTATTCTGGTCAGCATTGTGAAATCATTTCTCAAACATTCGATGCGCGTTTAATCGTGTCAAAAGCAATCGGTTACACAGGTTACGTAATAGTTGGTAGTGTATGTTTATTTGTGATGATGTTGGATGTACTGAAATATGTATTTGGTATTGATCCAGCACGAGCTCAGTTAGAAAGAATTCGAAGACGACAGAGACCAAATAGGAGCAAACGAAAACGCCCCGCGATTATACAACGGTTTACTTACGTAAATAAATGAACTTGAGTCGTAAGAGAATCATTATACAGAGCTTTTTTTCAATATGAATATTATTTTATTTTTATTTCATTTTATAAGGAGAAGTAAACTAATCAAAATATTTACCTTGATTGTCCAAAAAAAAATGATCTTCCTTATTACTGAATCTTGAATTTTCTATTTGCATATCAATACTTTCTTAATTTCATATCAAAATGTTTTCGACACAATAATATTGACGTAACAGCTAATGCAAGTCGGCACATGATAAATTAAGTAACTGGCACACGTTAAAAATAGAATGTCAAAATACTAAGCACTTTCTCTGTTGGTAGGTAAGAACGATGATAAAAATGCTGAAGAAAATGAGTTCTATTGCATTTTCGCAGTAGCATGATGGCTGAGAATTTGTATAAATATCTCGACTTCGATAGCAACTGACATCTTGCAAGAAACCATCATCTTTCAGTGCGATCAACCATTCAACATAAACTGACTAAGAATTGTTGCTCACAACGATAATCTCTATTTTCGTGACGCCGCACAAAATTAAAAACACGACCGGGCTAAGAGGGTATGGAAAATTCCGATTCTCTTAGGGAAAACTATATGTATATCATAAATAAGTTGGCTAATACTCATTCACACTCGACAAACGTCAGCACTTTCAACCGTATACTCTGCATCACGAACTGTATGAAACCTTTCCACATAAAACTTTTCAACAATATACGTAGCGCGTCGCCACGAAATAGACACACTAAATTGACAATGGTTGCAAAATGAATAGTGACGTGCAGATAAGAGCATGACATAGTTTTCATGATACTTTTGGTGTCTATGAATAGATCCAATCATTCTAGAAAATACGCAAACTAGTTCAATAAGGAACCATAGTGATCAAAAGATCAACATTTGCGCGCAAAGAGCACAATCTTCCAGAAAAAAGAAGTTTTAATACGCATGTGACAAAGACAAAACCATCTTTCGTCGTGTATACTTTCATCACATCGTATAAGTAACTCAGTCAGAACTTCTCGTCCAGCTTTTATATTTTATTTTAAAATGCAATATCACTTTGCCTTCTTGTCGTTATTTCCTTTCTTTGATCCGTTGAGATAATGCATAGAGAAGAAGTCATTTTGAATCCAGAATAACTTGTTCAAAGCTATGATGATTTCGTTCTTCCGTCTTTCGTCGATTTCATCATGATGAATCACGCCATCGATCAACACATGTTCCAAATATCCGAACAAAGCGTTCACGTGTATGTAATCGACATCGATCGAATGTGTTCCAGCTAAGTTTGTGTGAATTTTGCCGACGTTCGAGATGTATTCGAGAAATGCATCATTCCATGTCGATTGTCGTAAGATTCGACAGAGATATTTGCGAATGCTATGAATTCGAAACAAGATCTGTTCGGACTGAAGTGTGAGTTGATTTCCATCGGTCGTCATTGTGCCTTTGAAGTCATGAGTAGTGCGAAGAAAGTAGTTTTTCGTGATGTCATATTCTAATAGTTTCTGATAGATGATTTCAGCCACGGAGTTGATCAATGGTGTGGCGACACGAGCGAGGGTGTTTAACGCAATGATGTCATCGGAAGTGAAGTTGAGAAACTTGGATAAATAGTCGAATCGATAGCGAAGATCGGTATCCAAGCGAGAACCATCTATATGTTCGGCCATGTTTGTTAGTATATATCAGTTCTTTTCTCTTATACTTCTATTCCAATAGCGAGCACTAATTTAATTATCATCATAGAATGTAAGGAAAAAGAATTTTTTGCTCTTCTTCTTTCTGCTCTTATCTATTTCTCGTATAACATTCTGAAATTGGATCTTCTCTCATAAAATTATACGAACAAATTTTCTTCCTCTCTCTCTCTTATTCTTCATTTCTTTTTCGACTCGAGAACAAAAAAAAAATCACGAGAGTACAGTTCTGCCATTTCTTAAAATATTTTATCCAGTCGTATAATCAGAATCTGAACTTGCGAGATTGAATACGAGATTTGCAGTATCATCTAGTTTTCCTGTCTGATCAAGTGCAACATAAATTATCGTTTTCCAATTTGCTTGTCAATCATGTTCCGCTGATTAATTACATTTATTCCTAAAAGCATAATATATAATTATTTCCATACATAAACAAAAGTAAACACTCACCAGAACAATACGAGTTTACTGTTATAGTATACGTGGCCAATTCTAAAGCAGCAGTCTGTGTTAAGCCACGCATAATCCATTCCGTAGTTGAATAGTGACTGAGCATCAGAAATGGAATATATCTAGTTGAACTACAGATCCCAACGATCTTTTTGCCTTGTTCTCGTTCGATCATGAATTTTTTCTACTTCTCGATAACACAGAAACACACCTCACATGTTAACTGCAAACATTCGATCCCAATCGTCTGTTGTAATATTACGAATGGCTTCACTTGGCAAATCCTGGCATTACCAACAACCACTTGTAGAAGACAGGATGCATAGAAGAAGTACAAACATTGAGTTCTTACATTTATACTACCGAATTGTTCTCTAGCGGTTTCCATCATTTGTTTTACATCGTTTTTTCTTGTGATTCATCTTTAGCTAAACGAGCAGCAATCGCACACTCAACTCCCTGAGCTGCACCCGTGATCAATGCAGTGCGAGACATCTTTTTGTCCCTACCTTTTCACCCAATAATTCTGTATATTTATGTATCCACGTATCATACACGTGTTCATTTATAAATAGAAAAAGAGAGAAAGAAAGCAATGTGCATCAATACACAAGGAAATAAAATCGAATAGAAACAAAGGTCAAATGAAGTTGTGTGCTGCAAAAGAAAAAGAATTATTTATATGTAATTAAATACCCTCCAAATGCTTGAGCGTCGTGATAGATCACATAAATATGATTTCCATCTGTTGTCGTATCGTATCCTGGGGGACAGACTTTCATCGATGAATTACCTTTGACAGTATTTCCAACAAGAACTCGTGCCAAAAACATACACCGTTCTCCTTTCGAGTTGGGAGATGCATAAGAATGACTATAGCTTGCCATTGTTGAAAAGTAAACACCATAACCATAACTCGTGCCTAAATGAAGAACAAGTATTTAGATCGAAGAGATGAATTTAATAGACACACCGTGTTTGCCAGCATAACTACGATCAAAACCTTGGTCTATAATACCGCTGGCTGCAATCTCCGAGCAGCCGTGAAATAGTAATTGCTCAGTTTCTTTCTTTAATCGTTGATAGAATGCTGCTCTGTGAGCTCTGTATTGCAAAAACCAACGTCTGTGCCAGATCATTTGAATAGCGACAATTTTCTTGCATTGCTTTGACGTCATCGTTTCGAAAAATCTGTTTTCGATCTTAGTGTAATATTCATTCTGAAGCGTTAGGGTACGTAATGCTACAGTAAAATCATCTTCATCTCGCCGTATCTGAGGATTTCTTTGATTTTCTAATGCGATACATTCGTTCTTGAATGCATCGAAAGCTTCCCTTTGATTACTTTGAATAACAAAATAAACATCAAGCTTTAGTGATGGCTGTTTGTTGAATTCATACACCACAGCTGCAACTAATGTTTGAGCAACGAAATTCGGATCGTGGCCGAATTTTCCGCAGCCAATCGCAGGAAATGCTATGGATTGAATTTGTGTTGTTCTATCATTGATTGCCGTAGTTATTCCTTCTGTAACAAACGTTCGAAATGTCCATTTGTTCGCTTCGTGAGACATGTCAGGACATGGAATGAAGTAAATTCTTTGACAAGCCAGATTTCCACCATTGGTGCAGATGATATTTGTTCCGACTCTTTTTTGTTCATTCTTGTACACGTTTCTCACAGTATCACCAGCCTCTTGCAAGACAACTTCAACTAAACGTGAAGACGCCGTTGCAATAACAATTGCATCGACCTACACATGTGTATATATATCGAAAGAGATCGAATTCGCCGTTATTACCTGCTCTTTTGTTAGGTCTCCCGAGCGGCACTGAACTGTTCCACTATAGTTGTTCGCACCTTTAAAAGAAAAAAAACATATTTCTGGACTGTCTCAAACAAATATCGAAACTTACGCCCTCTGATTCTTTTTGAACTTGATGCTGGAGGCAACGGGATCACTGGGTTTGCTACTTTTGCATCGGCGGCAGCAAATTTTTAATTATTTTTTTTGTAGTGCTCATACGTTTTCGTATCAGCAACCAAGAATATCAAAGCATTTGTTTTCATTAATTCGCGCACTTTCTTCTTACTCGAACGACTCGACTTCTCGTCGATATTTTGTCCATTAACTTCAATTATACGATCGTTATTCCGCAAACCAGAATGTTCAGCTTGACTATTAGGATACACTTTTTGAGCGTACAAACCAATTTTGTTCACGCCACTAGTTAGATCAAAACCAAATACTGTTTCATTGCCACTAATACAAATACTGCATATTCGCGGTGTTAACTGTGGAAAATTTCTGTAGCTGTCGGGCATCGTAGCCGGAGTATCGATAACAGTCGCTGAAGCTTGATCGATTTTGATTTTCCTTTTTTCAACAAGTTCATAAGATTTCTGTTTAATAACAAGTAGATCTATGCGACTATTTTGATTGTATGCTTCGTTGATCATCGTTTGTATTCTATTGAAATCTGTATCGGATATCTGTTGATTATTTACGGCAAGGATGACATCACGTATTCGAAGACCACCTGCCTCGGCTGGACTGTTTGATTCGACCATACATGTTCGATGTGGAGGACCGAGAGATGGTTCGAGAGTGAAACCAAAGCCTGGAAAATTCGACCACGGATGCAATCGACATAGACGAACTTCAGCTTTGCTCAAGATCTCCGCACGATTTTTATCTGTAGTCATTTATCTAGAACAGAAATAATACTGAATCAACATCCATTGTATTCGGCATTGTTACCGACAATTTCTCTTTCACTTTTTTATGCAAAAACTTTCTGGCGTAAATGACGTCATAAGTGCTTAGAGGCTTCACTTTTTATTTAAATTGTTGCAGTGTTTCATCTTTTGCTCTGCTGCCAAAGCTAAGTTGGAAAGAAAAACGAACTACCGTGTGCATTTTTTGAGGGGTGACAATCTCAAGAAAGAAGTAGTGTACATAGTTTGTTTAGAGAAACAGGCGAATACTCGTTGTCGTAGTTTTTGTCGATAGTGACGAATGACTTTCTGGAATTCTTCTCTATAAAAAGTCGACGGTAATACAAAGATAACAATAAGTGTCAGCGTTGGTGGAACCAATGAGATGAAATATTCAATTAAAAATACTCATGAATCATTGACTGACTGCATACATTTCGCCATAAACAATATAATTAGACGAGGTATCACCAAGAATAGCTAAAAACACCGGAGCAGTTGATAAGCTTTTGTGTGATTAGAATGATCGTAGAAATTATATTGACGATAAACCGACTGAAAAAATGAAACATCTACATCGCCAAGTTGCAGTGAATCGGCATTTTTGTAACATACCACAATCGCTTCATGTAGCACGCTGCTTATGTTGATAACTAAAATAACTACAGCCATGCGTTTAGCGCTTCGTTGACTTTGAATCTTTTTAAAAGCAGAACCTTTCATCACTGTAACAGGTCGCTCGATGGGGGCACATGCACTAGATCATTGTTCTGTATTGATAAAAGCACGCAAAACAAAGTCAAATGAATGACATTCAACCAATAAAAGTACCTTATTCGTTAGAACATTCATTTGGGAAAGAATTAGCATCGAAAATTTCAATGCAAAGACGATCATTATGAATAACGTGGCTATCGACGAAGCAAATAGATAACCTCCATACCTAACTTCTCGAATACCTCTGTTTTTGAACGTAATCATCGAAAATAATCTACTCGTGAACATGATTACAGAGAAAATGATCGATAAGGCTAAACTAAACTCTACAATACTTGATTGATGTTTCAAAGGCGTATTTGGTTGAATGTGATAGACCAAATCCACTTGTCCAAAATAGACATAATCTTTCATAGTAATACGACTTACATTGACGCATAGTACGACTTGGGCAATTTGGATGATCTTGAAAACAGTACGCACCGTTTTGGCAGTCGCTCTTTCCTGAACAATCATAAGTCATGTTGTGTTTGAATTCGAAATAATTGACCAAACGTTTTTAATTATGTTCGTAACATAAACATACATGTAAATCGTCATAAAAGCATGTGAAATTTAACGATGGAACTTGCCAGTCGAGATGAGAATATTTGATATGTTCTATGTACGATAATTGTCGTAATATTTCGTTGAATAGTTCATTGATTTGTTTCGGGATAAGTGTCTGCCGTCGACCGAGTTTCTTCAACGAATGCGATATCAAATTCTTTTGACCACGAGATCGTGAGTGCTCTTTTCTTCAGTAGAATCATTGCATAAGTGCTGGTTCGTGCTGGAAAATCATTCTCAACAGTTTCAATACAATGAATCGGTATGTCTTGAGGTAAAGTGATCACGTCATCAAATGAGATAACCAATTTCAGATCGCGTACAGTGCATCGCTCACTATTAAAACCTTTTGCACACAGGCATTTAAGAGGGGTGTCCAAGGACTGAGAAAGGGCAATTCTTAAGTTCCCTATACAACCAACGAAAGCTCCTAAAATACCATGAGGAACTGGGATATAATCAATAAATCCTTCACGTTTCCTCCACATTTCCTTATTACCTCCCATAGGAATCAACCCCACGATAACACCCAAATACATAATCGACGAAATGACC